GTAATTACATAGATAAATGAGTACAAGTACAGTGTATCCTCTTGGTTAGCAAAATAAATAAATAAATAAATAGTACCAAATTTAGTGTAAAGGCTATATTTAGTTGCAAATACATGTTTTACTTGTTGCCAACCAATGAGAACCAACCTTTCTTTAGGAAAAAAAACTATGTATCAATGAAAAACATGATTAAAATCTATTATTTAAATCAATGTTTCCTGCTTGTTGATTTAAATCTTTATTAAAATCAGTTATTTAAATTGCATTAATTTAAATCAATCTACCTTGATGGAATACTGACCCCACCCTGGTGAATATTTCCTGTATGATGGGGCCTGTCATTGTGATTTCTTGTGAGCTTCCTGCTAAGCTCTGCCAGAACATTTTGCAAGCCTGGTATATGATGAAGTGCTACTGGAGTAATTGTGTCATATGCCATAATTCTATATAGATGCATAGTTTCTCGACAAAGGTGTGCATGTATGTGTTGGGGTGGGTTGGATCTTGCTCTGCCTTCCCTGTTTATATGAAACATTGCTGTGGTTTTGTCTGCCATAATCTGAACAGTTAACCCTTTCAGTACTGGAAGCAAAACTGTGCAAGCCTGATGAATAGCCTTATTTAGGCCATTTGTATAAGTGATCTTCTTGAGCCATCTAGAGACCTTGGTGTACAAGATGGTGTACGTGAACTCCCCACTGTAAAGTGAAGACACCTGTCATTAATGTCTCTGATGGTCATGGTGGAGAGAAGAGTACTCCTTTAGATACTTTTAGAGGATCCTTCAACCAGTTTAATGGTGACAGGACTCCCGTGGGACCTGCATCTTCATCTCCAGATGATGACCAATGGACCAATATACAGACTTCAATCACTCTTGTATGCATCAAAAGTGAAGTCTCGGCACCCTCAGTTACGTATAAACAGGAGGCCATGTGTCCTAGAAGTCAGACACAAGCTTCTCACCCAAGTCTGAGGTTGGATCGGTAGCTGAATGACCAGATCTACTACAGTGCTGAGTCTGTTGTTAGGCAGATAAGCCTTTGCTGAGGTGGTGCCACTACTACCTGGTATTTGGTAAATACCCTCAGTGCTACTTATAGACTGAAAGGCAGAACCCTGTATTGGTAATGGAAATTGCCCACCTGAAACTTTAGGTACTTCCTGTGAGCAAGATGGCTAGCTATATGAAAGTTGATGTTCTAAAGGCTGAGAGCTACACACCAGTCTTGTAGATCCAGGGAGGAAATCAGAGACCGTTCTGAACTTGAACATGTGAATGAAGGTATTCAATTGTTTCAACTGAAGAACTGGAAACCAGCCCCACTTTTTAATTGGGTATTGGAAAGTGATGGGAATAAAAACCCCTTGAGGCATTTCTTCCACAGCTCCAAGACTTAAAAATGACTTCCCTTCTTGATGCAGCATGCTGTAATGAGAATAGTCCTTAAATAGGGATGGAGAAGGAGCAGGGAACATCTGGAATTGGATGGAGTACCCCACCTATAAACTCTCCAGCACCCACTGGTCTGCAGTGATAAGGCTCTAGGTCCCACAAAAATAATGGGAATGGATGGAAAGAAAAGGATACTTCAAGAAATGCATGCGGTTCCTAACCAAGGAGACAAATCTGCTGACTTGAAGATGACAATGCCAGAAGAGCACCTAACAAAAAAGAAGATAACTCATCTTGTGCCGTAACTTGGGTTCCTTGAGATGCGTGTCCCTGTGTCCCAGAGCCGTTGATCGGAGATTTTCAGTAGCAGTGTCTGGTCGGGGGTGCGTGTGCACAGTAGCAGTCTCACGGTGCCAATGGTGCCTCATCTAGCACGTGCACGCCCCTACCTCTTCAGTCCCTTCTCTACTGTGGAGTATTTAGCTCGTACTCCGAAGTAGAGGGGAGGAGGGTGGGTAGTGGAGTACCCACAGAGACACTCATCTCGAAGAACTTCAGTTACTGCACAAAGGTGAGTAACCTTCTCTTCTTCTTCGAGTGCTGTCCCTTTGGGTGCTCCACTTCAGGTGCACGCAGAGCTGGCGTGACGAACAGGTCTATATGTGGGGATCCCCACATGTGTAAAATATGATGTGTTATTTCGTCATTCAGTTCCCATTCATGCTCTTGGGAAAACAGTCTGCTTAATGTGTCCACCATTATATTTAGTCGTCCCAGGAGGTATGCTGCTGTCATAGTGATGTTGTGTTTTATGCATCAGATCCATAGTTTTAAGGCCTCTGTGCATAAGGAGTGGGAATGTGCTCCAGCCTGGCGGTTTATATAGAGCATGATGGACAATATTGTCCATCAGGACCCTTATCGTTTTGTCTCATATAAGAGGGAGGAAATGTAGGCACACATTGCGGACCACGTGATTACAGTCAGCTCTTCAGCATTTTCATGAATGTTTTAGAATATAGCAGCTAGCTGCCTCTCTTTAGATGTGGCATTTACCGACAAAGCTCAATGGAGTTAAAAAAAATTGACCTTAAGAAAAAAAGACTATATTAGCTTCTCTTCAATGCTGGATAATAAAAGGTGTGAAAATAAAATTAAAAGGCTCATGCCTAAACAGAAGTACTTTTGGAGGTGGGGGTGAATTGATAAACTTTTAATACTTTGTTTTCATTGTCATTTTAATACACTCTCTCAGAAGCTTAAAAATAAAATTGCTTTTCCTTCTGGTTATTGTTGGCAAACACTAACACCTTTTTACATCCCCAACCCCGGCCATCTATCTGACAGATTGAAATGAACTGCTTTTTGTTAATTTCCTTGTTAGTGTATCAACATTATTTATGTGAACTAAGGAAAAAAAGCTTGCTCATGCCATCTATCCCTTTTTATGCTATTTTTAGATTTATAACAAACATCTGAAATGTTTTCCCTTTCTTCAAAAAGGTTTTTTTAATACTGGTTTAGAAAAAAAAATCCTTAAAAATATGAGGAATATCAAGTCGTGTTGTTCCTTGCTTTTTGTTCTCCTTGGCGAACCACAGAATAAGATGAAAGCTTTCTTTTCCCTTATCTGAAGGAGTGAGGACATGAAACGTTGAACAAAAATCTGTTCTCCCAACTGTCTGAATTAAATAGACGTTGGAAGTTTTAAACAGTCTGACTAGAACCCTGTGCAGCCATTAGTTGAAAACTGATTTAAATTGGTTTAGTTTGCATTTACAAGTAAATGAAGTCCTTTTCTATACACAAAATTGCACTCATTTAACTAAACTGGCACAACGTCACACATTTAGTTAAATTTCTGTGTGCCGACAAGCCCTTACACAAAACTAAACTGCTCTTAGCCAATTTTAAACAGGGGTTAGCACTGGTTTAACAAAATCGTTTTCAATCTGATTTTAGTTAGGCCCGGTCTACAAAGATATACTTATATACCTAAAGGTGTGATTTTATACTAATTTAACTTACACTAGCAACTTGCGTAGACAAGGCCTCAGCTGTGTAAATGTAACCTTTGTTGGTAAATGATGTCTTAACCTTACTAATTCTTCTGCCATTCAGAAAAAACAAAGCAGAGAAGACCTGCATTTTTAATGTAAAAAACAAGTTGAACTTTTTAAAAATAAAACAAAACAAACCGCACACCCATAGGCCATCTTTATACATCAAAGAAAACATTTTTTAAAAATCACACCAGCCTAGCTTTATTCTTGTTTACAGGTCAATTTTAGCAACTTCTGTACAACCAACAGAAGTGCATCAAAGGGTACTGTGCATATCTTGCACAAGTGGCTATTACTGTTTTGAGACCAAATAGTAAATTTTAAATTAATTCAAAAAATTCCCAGATAGATTAAAACAATTTTAAGGCTGAGTATGTTTTATGTGTAAATTATAAGACAATGTGGCTCAAAAATCAGTAAAGTCCGAGTTAAACCTGAAACTCTATTCTTAAAAAGGTGAAGATTTGAGATTTTATTAATTTAAATAAAACTAAAGATTAGTGGTCTGATTTTCAAAAGATGCTGAATATCTCTAGTTCCATTGACTTCAATGGGACTCCAATGCCCCTAAAATATATAGATGTTAAACAAACTCAACTATATTCTAAAATAAAAATTATTAAAACCCATTCCTCGTTCACTCACCTGCTGTGGCTCAAATAAAACAAAGACTTACATGTGTTTAACTTTACTCAGTGTGAATAGTACCACTGTAATCAACAGGACTACTTGCTGTACATAAAGTTATGCACGTGTGTCAGCATTTACAGAATCGGTGCTTTAGGCCTTCCCTACATGGGAAAAATTTCATTATAGCCTAAGATACAAATTTAAACCAATGTAATTACACCAGTATAATCCCCCACCTAGCCTTGTACTGAAATAAGAGTCTCTATGTCTACACTGCAGACCTTAGAGTGGCACAGCTGTACCGCTGCAGCTGCGCTGTTTTAAGGTCTCCTGTGTAGCTGCTCTATGCCGGTGGGAGAGCTCTCTCTTTGGCCAAATTAAACCACCCCCCAACAAGCAGAGGTAGCTATGCTGGCAGGACAGCATCTCCTGCCAACATAGCACTGTCCACACCAGCGCTTCTGTCTTTGAAACTTATGTTGGTCAGGAGAGTGTTTTCTTCACACCCTTGACCGACAAAAGTGTTTGTGTAGATATAGCCTAAGAGCGGGTTTCTTCAGTTTAGCTTGTGTCAATTGGAAAGGAGCTTAAGCAAAACAAAAAAAAAACCCTATCCTTATGCCAAAGTAAGAGTATCTACACAAGCGGTTATAACAGTATAACTATGTTGGTATAACTAGTAAAACTTTCTGGTAGCCTTATTCTTGAGTTCAGTGTTCCAGATTTACGCTGTAACAACTGGTGACATCAACATCACCTGAAGCAACACTGAGCAATATTTCAGACAATTTTGAAGCTACCAGATGTTACAGGGCAAACATGGAAACCTGAAAAAAGTACTGAGAAAGTACATAAAGAAGAAAAATTTGGGATACATATGTACAAAGCATTGTAGTTCATCTTTAACTTACCTATGGTACCTAGATTACACTTCACACCTCGCATGCATAATCACTCTGTGAAGACTCCTGTGATGAATTAAACAAAAGACACACCATTTCAATTTTGTAGCTGTTATTATACAGGTTTACAGATTTAGCATAATTATTTTTCATTTTTTAACTCTTATCCATGAATTAGACTGGTAAAAATGCTGATTTTTTAATGAATAATTCAATATTTTTTCAATGTGAATGAAAAAACTAGAACTAGAATTAAGAGCTTCTATCTGAAAATGGGAAATACTGTTCTCAAAACATTGAGGCTTTGTCTACACTGGCAACTGAACAACAAAACTTTTGTCATTCAGAGGTGTTAAAAACAAAAACAAAAAACACTCCCACGAAAGACAAAAGTTTTGTTGACGAAAAGCGACTGTTGGCAAGAGTACTCTCCTGCTGAAAAAGCTACCTCCGCTCGTTGGGAGTGGAAGTTTTTTGTCGACAGGAGAGCTCTCTCCTGCTGACAAACAGCAGTTACATCGCGTGCCTTTTAGCGGCACGGCTGTAGCGGCACAGCCATGTCGCTAAAAGCTGCATAGTGTAGACAAAGCCTGAGTGTTACATTTCACATGAGATAGGAAAGGCCACTTCAAAGCATTTTACTTTCTTCACATGTACTGTTGGGCCAGCTGCTCTACTGATACAGAAAATAATACACTAATCTGGGCATTAGGCCAATACTGGATCAATACTTAATGGAAGATCCCTACTTCAGCTCGGAAGCCCCCCAGCTATTGAACTCATGTCAAGTTTTCCTAACAGCACATGAACTATAACACCAATGGGAGCAACAGCCAGCCAGCAAAGTGCTGGATGCTATATGCACCAAGACTCCTGAAAAACTAATCAACATAGAAATGCTTTTCAACAGCGAAGCTTTGGTGCCCTATCAAGTGTATGGTGATCCATTTTTTCCCCTTATTTAAATCAGGCAACTTTACATAATCTCATACATTTTCTATAGATTCTGGCCTCTTCTCTTACATAAACCCTGATAACTGGAAAATATATTCTGCTTTGTTGCTAACCTTATGACTCCTGCAAATACAGTAAACACCCACCTCTTTCTTTCACATGAATCTTTCTACCTTTCTCCTGAAGAGTTCTCACTACACTGAGAAGTAAAACCCTGTTGCTCAGACAGATTTCTAGACCATTCAAATATTTTTGTCCCTCATCCATCTTCCCTCCCACCCCCAAAGAATCTGTGCTTTTTGCTACTGCACCTGTAAGCAGTTGACATTGTAAGAAAGCAGTATTTTAAATTCTCAAGAAATGAGAATAAGAAATAGTGATAGAGAAGTATTTTTTAATCATTACTTTAGTGGATTTTGAAGGGAAATATCTACAAAGTATGAATTTTTACACAATCTGAATTTTGGGCTTAAATACTGAGTCTTAAGGAGTTTCAGTCTAAACTCTGAATTTCCTTGTTTTCAGCAATATTCTTATTCCTATTCCTATTATTTAATTCCAAGCATGCCCACAACATGCTAAGTGCTTTCTAAGGCATACTTCCTGCTCTGAAGAGCACACCTTATACATATTTTGTTTTCTATATTAATAATAAAAACATCAGAGTGATAGCTGATTGTTTCTTGTTCCAGAATGTGCATATTGCCCCCAATAGCCTTTTAAAGCAATGACAGATAAAAGGAGCAGTGATGTCAGCTTCTATTGTCTTTGTTGCATTCTCAAACAAGCTCCTTCGCACTTTCTCCCCTGCTGGCCCTCGCAATTGCAAAGAATTCCCCCTAAACATCCCCATATCTCCTTTTTATCCTCCTTCCAATCCCTCCTTAAAACTCTCCTTTGCAGAGATGCCTACAAAAAACTTGACAAGTTAGGCCACTGGTGCACTTATGCTCTTGGATGAATTATGCACCACTGCGCACATGCAGAATTCATGGCCGGAACAGAATTCTCTCCCCCCCTAGAAAATACATTCCGCCAAAGAAGTGCTGCAGTTCCACCTTTCACACCCCATAGGATGCTGTGGTGCCAGAACAGCTGGCTGACTAGCAGTAACAGTTAGCAGCCAGCTGCATTAGTCACAGCAGCCTGCCTGTGCAGCCAGGTTAGGAGGCAGAATACAGCACATGGGACTGCTGGGGGGGCTAATAGACTGAGGTTCAGAAGGGCTGTGGGGGACAGACTGGGGCATGGGCTCATGTGCTAGTGGGGTGACAGCATTGAGCCAGGGGCTGAATGAGAGGGGGGCTCCAGCGCCACATGGGGTCAGGGACACACAAGAACAGGGGCAGATATGCCAGATTGAATGGGAGAGGCTCAGGATCAGCCAGGGTCTGCATGGGGGAGACTCCCCACCTCCCTAACAATCCCTCCTGTGCACCCCCTCTCCAATAGACACTGTTCTATATTTCTCCCATGCACACCCAACAACCCTCCAGGTTCACCCTCCAGGTTCCCTCTCCCTCAGCTCCTCCATTACCCCTGATTCCCTCAAGCCTTTGCACTGCTTCTGAGGGGTGCAGGAAATACATTTTTGTATTGCAGTTTAAATGAAACAAAAAGTTCTGTATTAATATGATTAGTCAGGAATCTATTTACCAAATAAAAACAACATTTCCTGAATCTTTCTTTTTGTCTGTATTGTCACAGACATACTTGCTGACAGGTATTTTGAAACAAATTACCGAAATAATTTAAACTGGCATGAGTATACTGTGTTATTTTGACAAATGAAATAAGCAGAATTTTAAAACATTGTGCACAGAATTTTAAATTTTTTGGCACAGAATTCCCCCAGGACTATGCAGTGAGACCACTGCTTATCATGCTGACCAATACTGTCTCAGTGTTTCCTTGTAACACCCCAACCATATATATCCATCTGTTGCCTCGTCTTACACTTACATTGTAAACTCTTTGGGGTAGGGATCATCTTTTTGTTCTGTGTTTGTACAGCGCCTAGCAAAATTGGGTTCTGATCTATAACCAGGCTGCAAGACAATATGGTAATACAAATAATAAACAATACCTTTTTTGGCCATGACCACTGGTTTAAAACTGGTGTAGCAAATTATATTTGAGAGTAAAAATAGTTAAGAAATTAATATCTTAAATTCTATGGGTAACTAATGATGATCAAAAGGTGGAGACTTTCAAAGGCACATTAAGGTAACTAAATCCTATAATTATACTGCTATAGTTAAACTGTTATAACTTTACTGTGTATACAAACCCTTAATGCTTGTTAAAAGGGTTTTTCCAAGTGTTAGCTCTGCGGTTCTCAACAGTGGGGGAGACCCCAAAGTCTTTAGGGGGGCATGCTGACCTTTCCCATTCAGTCATGGGGTTGCAATGCCACTCATTCAAAACTGGCCCAGTCACTCCTCCATCGTGACTGCCAAATTTGAGTGAGAGGCTTTACAACCTGGCACACAAAGTCAACAATACCAGCCACTGAAATTTAGCCTGGCTGCCCCTCGGATTAACACACTTTAGTGCCAAAATTGAGAAATACGGTCCTGAAAACTTTATGGATACTATGCTATGTTCTCATTTAAAATGTTTCCCAGCCTATGCACAGTTAGACAGCAGGATCAAAGGACTGATTTATTTAAAGAAGAATCTCCTTTATTGGAATCAATGTATTAGATGGCCCAATTCGATCTAGATTACATTGGAAAATCCCCTTTTGTTCATCACAAAAAAGTTGGGGACATGATTAAAAAAAGGTTGAGAATCCCTGTTAGCTTAATGTGACTGAAAAAAATCACCCCCTTTTCGCCCTTTTGCAGTAGTAGTTCGTTCCTTCCAGAGGACATAACATTAGGCCTAATCTTACACACAGTTTTAATAGTGATGTAACCACGTTAGTTCAGGAATCATTCTTTTTTTTAAACCAATATAGTTACACTGGTACAACCCCTAGCATTGATGCAGTTGTACCACTATAGACTGTTTCCCTTCCTGTATACGAACAAGCTATATCAGTACTAACACATTTATACCAGTATCACTGTATTCACAACTGGGGGGTTGTAACCCTTCATTTATCTCAATGTAGTTAAAATTGTGCAATTTTTCTGAGCAGACAGGGCCTTTATTCTGCTGTTGAAGAGCAAAATTCAAATCAATGGCTCTCCAGCTTTACAAATCAGTCAATGCCATATAGTAAGGGCCTAAAAAGAACTATGACCTTAAAAGAAATAAGCATGGTCACATGTCCTTACTATGTGATGGTCTGACTTTTGAAATGTAAACTATCTTTCTAAGTAGCATCCCTATTCTCTCATGCCCTTCTCTATGCTGATACTCATATGTCAGGAGTTTGTTTCTTAAACTATTTATTCAACTGACACCCCCTTCTAAAATTATGATGGAAAAGATAGATACGCCAATAAACTCAATAACAATTAATACACTCATGCATGCTTTATGTTTAATGAATATTTCCATTACAATGCTCCATTATTGGCAATGTAAATGAAAATTTGCCACCAAATGGGGGAAACACACCGTAGAAAACTAAACACCAGGCCCTCAATTCCTTTTGATATTAATGTAAGCCATGCACATAGAGCTGGGTCTTTATACAGTACCTAATTTTTTACATTATTATATTTTCTTAATTCTAATTTATTATATGGTTTCAAAGTCTGCACAAAACTTCATCAGGTTATACCAGATTGTCGCCTAAGATCTGTAGCATTGTGTAGCTAATTCATTTTACATTACAAGCTTTAAACAACAGCCCAAGTTTTACAATATTTGGGAACATACTTACGAGGATGTATAAATATTACATAATAATCATAGTGCTGTATGTACACCTCTATTTCAACTAGGACTTGTGGCATAGAAAGTTATACTGGTATAAGGCAGGGTGTGAATTTAAACTGTTATAGTCATACCAGTGTAACTCCCGGTCTGGGCACTCATATTCCAGTAAAAGAGTGTCTTTTTCTGGTTTAGCTTTATGTTGTATTAGAAGTGATTTAAGCCAAGCTACAAAAATGACTCTTATTGTGGAACAAGTTTGAGTTGTACCAGTATAACTA